TCTGTGTTCTTAGGATTGTATGTTTTTTAATTCTTTGGTTTTTCCTTTTATATTGAGACTTTTAAAGAAAAATAAGATGGCTATATTTTCAACACCAAGAATGAAAGAAGTAGTCTTCTTTACATTTTTTTTCTGTTTATTTACATGTTTGATTACATTTCTTTACACATCCTGTAACTTAGCGGGCACCATGTACCAACACTTAGAAAACTACCTGTTACTGTACAACACTTAGAAAACTACCTATTAATGTAGAACAGCAGCTGCTTTCTGTATTACAAATGCCCTGGCCAGTTCTCATGTTTTAATATCCATGTTCCAATAGCCCAAATCATGATATACACCTAAGGTATACACATAATTCTTACTGGGTAAGAAAAATGAATCTCAGTCACTTAAACACAAAGATCTAAATTTACTATGTCACTAAGCATTATTTGGGTACTATATAAGTAAATATACACATTTCTTGATGGTCTAAAACTGGGAACCTCATTAGTCTTCCCATGAGTAATAATTTGGTTTTACATTACCAACATCCAGTAGTTTAGGAGCTGATTTAAGCCTGGCCCATTCAGTCCATCCAGAGTGAGGACTGAGTGTGCCACTGCAAGCATTTGTTGAGCAGACAGTAAAACACATGACTGAAAGGCTGTAGGTTAACAACACTTCTATCTGCATGCCTGAGGGGGCCATAAACTGTAATGCAAGGGTGGGAATAAACAGTGAAGGCTTTTTTAAAATCCTGCTCATTTCACAGGTCCAGTATAGGAAGCTGTAAAAAGCCTGACCTGACTGGATTGAGTGGGAGGATCTCCAGGTATACCTACACTTAGTAGCAACAATGATTTATAGGGGTTTAGCAGGTAAAAAATGAGTTCTTAAAATAATATCTATACTGTTTTTATAAAGCACCATAAGATCTGCCAATGAAAATAGACATATACCAGTTACATATTTACTATTTGTTTTTGTCATATACAATTTTTGTCCTGTTCTTTTTTATGTGTTGTGCAAACCAAATTCTACCTGTGATAAAGCAACAAGTAAGCTAGGAAGTTTTCCTTCAGAAAATAGCTCCAACCATAATCAGTATGATATTTTGAGATCCCATTTCATGCCTCAGCCATAAGGTTGGCATTACTGCTTTTTAGATGCAATACACCATTGATGAAACAAAACTTTAAAGCCAATTAAACATTGACAATCTCTCTACCACTGGCAAAGGCACAGTTGTTAAGAGTTCGTCTTTGTTGCATGTTTGCAGTGTAATCACTGATTTCTGGAAACTTTTCTGGCAGTCAAAAATATCCAGTGAATTCATTTTTGTAGGCAATTTTATACTTGACTCACATTACTTGAAAACATTTTAGTTTGAAAACTAGAGGTTGTATGCACTCAAATGAGGTATTTATCTCCATTCTTAACACAAGGGAAAAATAAGAATTTGTAGAGCCAAGCTATACAAATAACAGTTTATTTGCATTTTAACTATTAATTTCAGAAGTCATCACATACAAATCTTTATGAAACCCACTACTAGGTATGAATAAGGAGAACATCCTGTTTTGTTTGAAAAATAACCAGCATTTATGTCCTGGGTTTTAATGTAAGTAAAATTTACTTAAACCAAAGACATTTTTAAGTTAACAAAGTTTTTTTCCTTCATTTTGTGTGGCAAAAATGTAATTTGGTAGGCAAAGAAATAAACACACAAACCAAAATTAACTAGCAAGACTTCGTGAGATAAACTTCTACAAAGGCAAAGTTACTTTTAACAGAAGGAACTTACTGTACTATATGCCTACTAAAAGTTCAAACATCTCTAGAGGGCATTTTGGAGAAAATAAAAACACTAAAACTCTATTTCATTTTCTCCCATCTGAAAATGCTCTGCAGTATGGTAGCCCTGCACCATCTAGTCCTGCAAGTGTTTCCTTCTCATACTGGCTACCTTAGTGGTACTAAGCTACTAATATCAGTTCTATCAGCACTTATAATATAAACAGAGATTCCATTTAATCTAATCTCAAGGAATTTTATCTGTCTGCAAAAGTAAATTCTGTACAAAAGCAATGTAAAAGCTATAGTATTATAGTGGTCTTGTCTGTAACAAGCCTTTATAAACAAGTGTGTTGGCAAAGTACTACAAGGCTAAGTCTACTACATTTTTATGAATAGGACTATCCTTTTTCCACTTTCTCCTACTTTTTTTGGGAGTAATTATAGTGTATTTTTATTAGGTTGGTACTAAGTTTATTCTCCTCATTTACCTTTGAAACAAAGAATGCATTATTTATACCTACATGAACAAAACCAACTTAGACATGAGAAAGTTGCAGAGAAAGATGTAACTATAGAGGTAAAGCTGCATCTTGTAATGAGAGTTAAAAATCAGAATTCAAGGACCACAATGAGTACAGCATTAGACTCTTTGCACATTCCTCTACATTTAACTCATCTCCCTCCCACCCACTCCCCAAAAAAAAACCCCAAAACTGAAATTACTTTTCTAACTCAGTTCAGACTTGATAGGAATCTAGACCAAATTGGTAAAGGGGCAATAACTCTGAAAATGTAAGGTGGTGAAGAAGCAGGCTGGAATGCAAAAAACTCCCATGTTTTCTAAGTACTGTGTGACTACATGTAAAAATCAGGTCTCAAAGACTTCCAAAGACCTTGTTTGGACCATACCTCAGTACAAATTTCTGCCAGTATAGTTGCTCAATGAGGAGTCACACCTCTTCTCATCACAAAAAAAAAAAAAAAAAAAAAAAAAAAAAAAAAAAACAAGTACAAGATGGTAGTCAACCTCTTCCCCACTGAGGACAAGGGTAGCTCAGTAGCTTCATTCACTTGGCTGCCTTCAAATGGCCCAGTGAAAGAGATGAGTGAGCTTACAAATATATTGGTGTAATTGAGTCTGTGGAGCTCCAATGTTTTGCAAAGTGTTGTCAAGTGGAAGAGTTTCTGTGTTTGTGTCTCTTTCCATTGTTTTAATACAGAGATTCTTCTTTTTTTCTCACATCATATTCTGTCTCAGTGTTCAGCTGAGAGGCAATGAGAGGCAATGAAAGAAATAAGCAACTGGGTGAAGGTATGAGATCAGCCTACTGAGTGGTAGCACTCTCACATGTCACAGTAAAGCTACTATATGAACACAGCCACCTTCACTGCCCACAAAATTCCTTTATGTTGAGCTAGGTTGATTTAACTATAGTTAACTGTCTTGTTTTATACAGATAAATATATATATTATGATGGGAGAGCTGAACTCTCCTAATATTTAGCTTATTCTTTCTGTGCTAACATATAATTAGTGAAGACATGTTGTGGTGAGTCATGTGCCTCATGACTACACTCCCAGAAGTCTGTAAGTGATACTACATAACAGCTACAAAAAAAGCTCTGACCTAACAAGAGTAACCTAATGACTGACAGAGTACCCAGCATCCTGACACAACAAAGCATGGCAAGTTTTTCTGTCAGGAAAAGACATTTGTGGGAGACGCCACATTAACAATTTTGTTCCAAAGAGATGAATGCGGCAGTTGCAGGACTGAGGCTGAAGCTTTGCTCTGAGAAGGCAGCACTCTCCTGCCTCCAGCCTGCCCTCCCTCAGAGCATGTTGTGCTTTCTCACATGCCCGCCTGAAGCTGTCCCAGAGTGGCCAGAGGGGTCTCTAGATGCTGGGCTGCAAGTGAGCGGCCCAGCTCTTGCAAATTTTATTGATGTTGATAAACTCTCTGCTAGGCCTTTGGGAAGTGCTCTCTGGGCACAATTGTACTGGGTTTGCGTGGCAAGATTTTGGCAGTGGGTGGGCTCTACAGGGCTGGCTTCTGTGAATAGATGGCCCTGCAGCCCATGGTGACCCTGGTGGGACAAGCTGTCCCCCTGCAGCCCATGGTGGTCCACAGTGGAGCAGAGATCCACCTGCAGCTCATGGAGAACCCCACGCTGGAGTGAATGGATGTGCCCACAGGAGTCTGTGACCCCACGGGAAATCTGTGCTGAAGCGAGTTTGCTGGCAGGATCTGTGACCCCACAGGGAGATCCACGCTGGAACAGTCTGTTCCCGAGGGACTGCACCTCATGGATGGGATCCTACACTGGAGCACTCTGTGAAGATCTGCAGCCCAGGAGAAGGAGGAATTCCTCCCTGGAGAAGACCAGGGAGGAATGTCTCCCATGGGAGGAACTCCCTGCTGCAGCAAAGGAAGAATGTGAGGAGCTCTCCATCGGAGGAGGCAGAAGCGGCAGAGACAACGTGGGATGAAGTGATTGCACACTTTTCCCAAACCACTGTGTCGCTGAGGGAGGAGGAGGTAAAAAAAATTAGGAGCGAAGTTGAGCCCGGGAGGAAGGAAGGGGTGGGGACGAAGTGTTTTAAGACTTAATTTTGCCCAAGACAGTAACTGGTGAGTGCTCTCTCCCCATCCTTATCTCGACCCAGGAGCCTCTCGCTGTATTTTCTCCCCACGGTCCAGCTGAGGAGGGGCAGCGATGGAGCGGCTTTGGGGCAGCTTGGCTCCCAGCCGGGTAAAGCCCATACAACGACGAAGTCATAGAAATCACAGAATGGTTTGGGTTGGAAGGGGACCTTGAAGGTATCATCTAATTCCAGCCTTCAATAAATGCCAACTCTTATTTGCCACCTGACTCGACAAAACAGTGCAAGGCGGCTTTTTCTGTCGCCCCGTTCCGTCGCCCCGTTCCTCTCTCTCTTCAGCGAAGCCTCCTCCCCCGGCAGCAGAGCAAGAAGACGAAGCGGCAGCGGGCCGGCCCGGGCAAGCAGAGCTGGAAGGAAACGCCTCCCGGGAGCCGCGGGCAGCGGGACACGATGTCCCACCGCCCCAATGAGGTGCTCCAGCACCGGCCCGGCCCCCGCCCCGCCCCGCGCTCCGGCCCCATCCGTCACGGGGCGGTGGGCGGGGCCAGCCGCCCGCTGGGAAGACGCTGCGCCCTCCCATTGGCTGTGCCCCGTCGAGCGCCGTCCGTGGTTGGCTGCGGTGGCTGCCGCTCGCGGCGCGCGGGCGGTGGCGGCGGGCGGCGGCGGGCCGGAGGTCACTCGGCACGGGGGCGCAGCATGGCCGCAGCGGTGGTGCACAGGGGACCTGCGGGCTGGTGGCGCTGGCACCGGCGGGTGATGGGTAAGGACCTGCCCCTTCCCTCGGCTCCAGTGGCCCCGCTCTGCCGGCCGGGCGGGGAGAGGCCGGGCCTCTCCCGGTGCGCGCAGCTGCCGCGCTGCCCTTGGCGGCCGCGGGGCCTCCGAGCCCGGTGCAGCTCCGGAGCCGCCTCCCTGTGCGGCATCCCCGGTGGCGGACCCCGCGGGCGGTCACGGCTGGCGCGGCTGCCGCCTTATTCGGGGCTCCGCCGGGGCTTCGGAGCGGCTTGACTTAATAAATGTTTTCACTCATTTGCTTAAAATAGCGTGCCTGGAAATCATCAGAGCCCACAAAAGCCTCCTGTGGCAGCAGTGACATGTCTGCGGTACCTGTCACCTAGGTTTGGGCTGTTCAGCCCTCTCGGTCACTGCATTTGATTATTTTCTTTAAACCGAAGGTAGATCCAGCGGCACTTCCTCCTGTGTCGGCTCTGCAGGCACTGGTGCTCACCTGTGGCTGGTTCATGGGCAGTGGAAGGAGCAAGCGATGCAGATGTCCTGTTGGTACAAGCAAAGGAAGATTGTATTTGTAGAACTGGACCTAGACATTCTCCCTTTCCAGAGTCCTGAAAAATCACACAGCTGTTCCTAAGTAATTGAATTGCTGAAGTAAATTATTAAAAATAAACCTTCAGTAGTCTTTTCAGTGTCATTTTGATTGCAGTCCGTTGGTCATGTATGTCACTTTGTGGTTAGGCTCCCAACACATAGGTGAAGGGTTTTAACTAGCAAAGTAGAAGAAATATATTCTTTTAAATGGTATATAGTTCTAAAATCTTGAACACTTAAGGACGTGTTTCGGGAATTACTAAATTACTTTTAAGTAGGTAACTTTAAAAACATTGTAACTCCCCTTTAAACCACACTTAAACTAATGAATGAAAAATGTTTGATAATTTTGACATTATCTTGCAGTGCTCTTTTTGCTCCACTGTCTCTTTTCCACTAATGCTTTTTTTTTTTGTAGTTGTAGTTCTGATGTTGTGATAAGTAATAACTCAGGTGCAGCAGGCATGTTGGTCTTATGCTAGTAAAGTTAAATACAGGGGACCTGTTTATGTGTTTAGTACCTTTTGAGATACCCCAATTGAAAGCAATAGCTTTCAAGTAATTTTGAACTTTCTGTGCATGGTTAACTGTCAGGTATTTCTGTAAGAGATTTGAAATCCACTGTCATGGTCAATTTCCAAATGACCATGTTTAATGTAGGGCAGATGGTGGGGATCTTGTTTCTTGGTGGTGAGCATAGGTGTAAAAAGCAAACCAACACTGGTCCTTAAAGTTGAAAAATATAGTTTGTCTTTACCTGAAGATTTGAGTAGGAAACTCTAACTAAACCTAAGGAGAAATTGTGACTCTCCCAAGAAACTTCCATAGAGGAGAATTTCACCCGCAGCATATAAGCTCTTGCTTAGTCAGTAGTGACTGTGCTGAAAGTACTCTTGACTGAGAAATGTCTATGGGATGAAGGTCTAAGCATTAAGCCTTCTTAACTGCTAAGCTCTATTGCTTAGTTATATGTCGCGGTTTCCCCATCTCTAATGCATTTACTAAGTTTGCCATTCTTTTCTTTAGTCTGACAGTTGGGTTTTGAGTAGTGATTTCATCATCTGTCCTGAGTGAATTGCCATCCTGGTGAAGGAATTCTGCCAGCTCTGAGAGCTGTCCAACACCACAGCTTGGTTAGCAAGCAGGCTGTCTTCCTCCTCTTACTGAATGCTCCTTGGTTACTCGGTCAGTTGCTCTTTGCAGCTGGTGGAGACCATGATGGTTTGTTTTTTCTGTATGTTTATGCTAGAGACTGTTACATGTTCTAGGAGAAAAATAAGGAACAGAGGGCCAATTTTGGAGGAGCTTCTTGGATGTGTATGTTTGTATATTAGTCAGGTGGACAGAGACTAGGTAGTCTTGTGTTTTGCAGATGGCAGGCACTGACAAAGGTGCTTCATAGAGAGAGTTTATATGACCTTACTTAAAATTATATTTTGATGGATATGGAGAAATCCCTTCTGGGGACTGCTGGGGGGGCGTGAAGAGGAGGTTGATGAATTATGCTGGCTGGGAAAAGAAGCTTTTCTGGTGAGTGGAGATTCATCAGCTGAGGGAGCTGTTCATCAAATAAGACAGTACCATGCTAGAGAACAAAAATGTCCTTACAAGTAGTTTTGTTGGAGTGGAGGGGAGCCATTCACTTAATAGTTCAATAGTACTTTTCCTGGCTTAACAGTACTTTTGCTGATGCAGTAGCTCTGCTTGAATTGTTGAATGACTCCATGCTCTGGTGCAGAGATTAAGCAGGGATTATAACAGAAGACCTGCTGCTCAGAAGTCCAGCATGTTACTTAGTTAAGGGATCAAGTGTACACTTGATATTCTTTTTAGATGAAAATTACTTACTATAAGGTTTTCTCTGTAATGTATTAGCAAACATTTAATGAGGTATAGATACAGATAAGAAAAATTATGTGTAAGAAGACTGATAGCCTCTCTGGTTTTGATCAGTAGACTGATCAGAGGCAAGAAAAAACAAGTGAGATGTTTTCAATGTAAAGCTGGCCAAATTTAGAGTATTATAATCTTAAATTATTATTTTGGCAGAATGCACTTCTCTAAATCATTGCATAACCTTTAAATGTCAGTGACCATGGGGAAATTTAAATTCCATTGGCAAAACTTCTAGGAACAGAAGGATTCTACCTATGTACAGCTGGTCTCTCTAACTTCTATATTTCTTCATCTAGTTCCCTCCCAGGATCTAGTTTCAGTAGGGTTTTGTATATTGCATACAGAAGTCCACAAAACACAGAAACTCACGCTGATCCTTTCTTTCAAAGTAGGAAGGAGAAAAGAGATTATGTCTTCTGTTGTGCTTGTACCAGAACTTCAGATGCTAAATCAGTAGGAAAATCTTTCATTTAGTGGCTCATTTTGAATTGTCGTCATGTTTCCTGCTCCTTGTCAAGTGACTTCATGTGTATTTTCTCATAAAGCCCCAAGCAAAACCAGAAACTTCAGTAGCTGAGCTTACTCTGAGCATCTTCCCATGATCCTGTTAGATCTCACATATTGGAAAAGAGGATCCAGAGAGATCAAGGTCATTAATATTCACTGATCCAGAGAGATCATGATATTAGTATGAACTGCAACCACTTTGATTAGGAAGCTCTTATGGGATGGGGCTGTGTGGACTCTCACCCTTGTGCCATTTGGTGAATATGGTTCAAAATAAATTTTATAAAGCCAAAAATTAAGTAATATAGTCCAAATTATATTTTGGGAGTTACTTGTTTCTCAGTCCTGTTCTTGGCCAGTTAGAGTACAAGAACACTGGATTTTTTCCAGGTCTGCTGTCTGTGGTTCTACCCAGCTATTAGACCCTTTTTGTTTGATTACAAAGAGATGTCCTCAGTTCTGCATATTATAGTGTTTGTGCAGTCAAGTATTTGCAGTGAAATCAGGGCAGCACTGGAGCTGGAATTCAGAATAGCTGTAGCTGGTTTTGCTCACAATTAGCTTGATATACAGATTAATCTGTATTGCTGGTTATGTTCCCAGGGAAGGAGAATTAATTGCACATGGTATTAGTGATTATTTAAAAAGTAGATTCTGTTGCTCCTCTTCTGATGTTCAGCCCTCTCTTAGAAGTTAAGTGTGGACTGGGCATTTTTCCAGCCATGTGATTGTAGCAGGTTACTGTTATGGTCGAAGTAAAATGTGTTCAGTACCGCTGGGACAGTTTCAGCAAATGCTTATACAATTGATGGGATTGGTTAGTGTACGTGATATGGGTTTGCAGAATATCAGTCCTTAGACGTTTGAATTACACAGTTATTTCAAAACTGAGCTTGTGCTACTTATCAGATGCTAAAAAGTGCCAACATACGTGAGCTGGACATCACATTCTGTGAAATCACCTGGGGAGGTTCATCTAAAGGGAAAACATGAATGTTCTTTCTTTTGAAACATCCTCTTTTTGGCAAATCCCCACTGTCTTAAGTAGTCATTTAAAATATGCCATGCATCTACATGTAGTTGGTTCAAATTTAATTGAAATCATCTCTATTGTGAACTAATTTAATAAGTCTTCTAAACCAGTTTTCTTCTATTTGAGTACCTGGAGAGCTGAAGGTTTTTCAAAACTGTTAATCAAATTATTTAATTTTGAAATATCTTATATAATACTGTGAAAAGTTAAACCAAAATAAAGTCAGAAACTGACTCAGGATTTGAACTACTTCTCTAACAGTTCAAATTCCCATGATTTGAATGTGTTTTAGCATATAACAGAAAGTGGTCTCTGATTCATGGACTGAGAAAAAAAAAATCAACAGAGACAGACAAGAGGAGAAATAATAGGAGGAAAGAGGTAAAATAATGACACAAAACTTAATAATACCGGTCAGCAAGTTGTCTTGTATCACAGCCTAACTTTTGCCATGCCTTTCTGGGGATACTGCAAAATGACGATTTTAAGGAAGGCCTTACAGTAGAAGAATGTGTTCATTTAATGGATATTTACCTTGTGAAGAGCTGCCTTAGAGGCACAATATAAGTGCATATTGGCAATAGACACATCACTGCAGTCTAATTACGAGCTGAACTCTTAATATTAAGATGTGATGACAGTCTTTAAAAGTCATCAAAGCAAAGCAGTTTTATGTAACATTGTAGAGAAAAAGCAGGCAGGTTGCAGAGAAGGAGTAAAAGTAGCATGGGCAAAATGTCCTTCTCAATTCCCAGCATGAAGATCAAGGCAAAATTATGTCTGTTGAGGCCAGTGACCAGGCTCTGAAGCAGCTGAGATCTCAGATGTAATGGATGAATCAGTGAGATTTAAGCAGATCATGGATGGGTCTTTTAGGCTGTTGTGAGTGACAGGCATGATTGCTGGTGTCAGCACTGATAGCAAAAAAAGGTATCAAGAAATTTTTCTGAAGATGTTCAGTTTGAGGTGATAGTTAGATGTCCATGAGATAGTGTGAGAAAAAAAGAGATCAGGATAAAAGTGAGGAGTCCACAAGAATGAGACTAGATATGGTAGTCAGAATTATTTTTCTGATAAGGTTACTTGGAATTCACAGAAACAAAGAAAATGGAGGTTTGGAAGCAAAGCTTCCAAAAGCCTTAAATCTTTAAAGCTAGCTTAGGTTGCTCATGGTGTTCTAAAGTTGCTAGAAGCATGGAGATTCCACATCTTCTCTGCATTGCCTATAACAGTGCAAAACCTTTTTTCCACATCAGGGATGCTCTTCTTATTTCCAGCCAGAATTTTCCTTCCTGCAGCTTTTGGCCATTGCCACATTGGAGTGCCCAGCTGTAAAGAGTTCAGCTTCATTTGGTCTGTAACTCTTATTTCCTCACATTCCATAGATAGTAGAAGACCACAACCTTTTCTTCTTCCAAGCTCACTAAAGACAGTTATCTTAGCCTCTGCTCATAGGCCATGTTCTCCTGATCCTTGGTCATATTTATTACTTGATGTTTGCTGGGCTGTCTGCAGTTTGATCAGATCTCTTGTGCTTTTGCTGTACAGGAGAATGACTGGGTTTTTTTACCTCCTTTGTCTGCTCTTGCTGATGCAGTGTGGAATGTCATTAACCTTTTGCTGCAAGGATGCACTACTGACTCATGCTCAACTTCCAGTTGATGGGAATCCACAGGTTCTGCAGAGCTGTCTAGCCAGTCAGCAGCCTGTAATGACATCCCCTGCCCCAAGTACAAGACATAAATTTGGCTTTGTTGAACTGCTTGAGGCCTACTTCTTCAGTCCTTCTGAATAGTAGCCTTGCCTTGCCATTTTTCAGACAGTTCCCCCAGTTTGGTGTCACATATGATGTTGCTGAGGTTGCTTATCTTTAATTGTCAGTCTTTGCTGAAACTTTTAAACAGCTTCAGTATTGACCCATTAGGATCATGTGTAACTAGACGGTTGCTAGTCTTTGAACTACTGATCACTGTTATTTGAGCCAAACACTCCAGACAGTATTTCTTCCTTCAGGCAGTTTTGCAGTCCCATCCAGTCCATACTTTCCTCATTTGGCTACTGGGATACAAGAGGAGGCTGTTCTGAAAGCTTTACTGAAGTCAAGGTAAATAAGATCTACTGGTATTAAGGGCTAGAGAAAGAAAGATGCTTAAAACCAGGGCTTGAAGCTCCTCAGGAAGTGGGAAGCTTTAGGCTAACGAAAGGAGCAATTTTAGATTAGTGCAAATGAGGGACTGGGGAAGACTGACTCATAGAAACAATGAGAAGACTCTAAGATGATTGTTATGGCTGATGAGGCTGGTTTAGACTCTTTGTTCATTTGTTCCCTGGTTTTGACATGTAGCACTTCTTAAAAAAGCAATGGGCTCTTTTCCTGACTTATCTCAGTTTTCACTAAGCATTTTCCCAGTGCAGATTTATTTTGAATTGTGCTACTTCTCTAGCTATGTAATTGCTGCAGGCATCTGTGGAAACTGTCTCAGACCAAAGTTCTCTCAACAAACCTGATTTATTAAATGTGGCACTTCCAAAACAGTGCTGCAGATGAAAGAGCATGACTGTTGCTGGCTAAGAAGGAGCTTAAAGTCAGAAAGACTTTAAAATGATTAATCAAGTGTTATTGGCCTAGAGAGGATTCTTTGCTAAGCATTGAGACCTCTTAGAGTCTCAATCCAGCTTAGGCACATTTTCTGTATGTGCACTTCAGAGCTACAGTATTTCTGTAGTTAGTTAGCTTTGTTTCTGTCTGCTTAGTTGACACATACTTCAGTGTTTATTCTGCATAACATTTTCCTTTGTCGTAAAGGAGAAAGTATTTTATGTCATTGGCAAAGAAATCTAGTCACTGTCAAATTGTGTTGCCTTTGGATCAGGAGTGTTTAGAGTGACGAGATAGTGATTGCCGTAGATGAATGCCTACAATCTATCTGCATCTATCCAGAATTTGATGCTCACTAACTTCTGGGAAAAGGTAACTGACTGAAACTGTAGTGTTTTCCACAGGTTGTAGGTTAGGCTTTATAGTTCTGTCTTGGTAGTATGGTAAATAGGATATAGAGGTTATTCCTGTGAAGGCTTCATCTTTTTTTTTTTATACTATATTTTATTCTTATTTTCAGTATTTAAACTGTGGTTGCATGGCTTAAAGGATTTGCCATGATTTACTATGGAGATATTCACCTTTAGGTTAGTGGCTTGTATCTGATTGCAGGATCAGAAGAATCTGTGAGGGGCTGCATGAAGTAAAGTGGAAGCCTCTGTCCATTTCTAGAGAACACGTGCTGCATCCCAGGGCTGCGAGCAAAGTTGCAAATAAAGAGTCTGTCAAATATATATGAAATTGGACTTTTCATATCCAATTTAGAATTTAGACACATAATAAAAAACAGACGTCCCTGAATATTTTAAGTCTACATTTGAGCTCTTCTCAGATCTTAGCTTTAAGTACTGTATTTTTTTGAAACACCCACATTTTCCTAATTACAATAATTTTCTTTGATATGTAGAAAAATCATTTTGGGATGGTATTTGTAGCCCAATGTGTGCTATAATTTAAAGTTTAAAATATGTAAAATAGGATTCACGTTTGCACTGTTTTAAAACATAAAGCTGTTAAAATAATTGAAAACAGATTATGTGGTAGCTTTTAGTATGTCATTGATGTACATTAGTCTAAAATACAAATATATTGATGTTTATTGTTTTGAAATCAGTGTGTTCTAGGACTATGGCTTCCAAAACCCCAGTTGGATTCATTGGGCTGGGTAACATGGGAAATCCAATGGCAAAAAACCTGGTAAAGCATGGATATCCAGTTATTGTGTATGATGTCTTCCCAGAAGCTTGCAAAGAATTTCAAGACTTGGGTGCTCAGGTATAGTAATAAACTTCCTTATTTCTGCAATAATTGTGTGTGTTGAATAGTTCCTGCATGATATGCAACTAAACAATCTGGAGTTTTTTCTTGCTTACAATCACAATGAAAGCTAAAACAACACAAAGAATACAATCTAAATCTGTGGATTTCAGTTAGAGCAAAGGTATGATTCTATGCCGAGTTATTCCTGCTGTTAGCCAGAATTGCTACCTTGTCAGACTTGTCTAGCTGTCTTTTCCCCCCCCACACTTTTTATGAGAGTAGGTTGATGGCCTGTTCTATCACCTCCTGCTTTCTCCTTCTTCCTTCTCCCCCAGGTCTAGATAGCCAGTGGGCTGCTTTTCATCTGGTTCCTGCTTTGACCTTTTCAGGTTAAATGACCCTAATTAAAAATTCCTGCTGGCATAGCTGTAAGGGTTATAGGGACATATGAGCTTTCCTGCTGCTTCAAGGTGTAGTCCTCAGGGGCAGGGGAAAAATCTAATTATTTAAGTGCTTATTCTCTTGGAGGCAAGGAAGGATATGCTGAGAGAAGAGGAAGGAATGAAAATGGAAAAGGAGGGAAGGAAATTGATTATATTAGGGAGCTTTACCTTCCTGCAATATACCCTGCAAAATCTTGGCCCTGTTCCAGACAGTCCTATTACTTTTCTTAATCTGTTAATACCCTCAGAGCCCATTCTCTCAGGTGGTTGTGTCATTTCTCTGTGTCTGTAACACACTTGAATGGTTTTGACATACTTCAAATCTGTCACAATTTAGATAGTTGTGGGCAGATGGATACCTGCTTAAAATATCAAAAAAGAGTGCAGTGCAAAAATAAACCTGTCATGTAACAATGTAGAGGATAGAAGGGAACTTTGCAGCAGTGGCAAGGAAATTGTACGTATAGATAGAGAAACTGTGTGCCTTGAAAGTCTAAACTGTTGAAGCTAATTGCAGCTGTTTTAAATAATGAGACATCCAGATTCCTAAAAGATAAAATGATGCCACACATCTGTTAGTAATTAATTGCAGCCCCCCTTGAATAATTACAGAATCTTGGCCTTAAGTGGCAAAGTAAGCTTTTCACCTCTTTTCCTAGCTCCTGTTCCTATTTTGTTAAAGCAGCCAAGACCCTCAGGCGTGAACTAAACCTGTCTTGAGTAAGACTGGGCAAATGGAAGAGGCTGTTTTGAACTGTTGGCTGTATTTTTAATTTGTGTTCTGCAGTGGGATCTCTTTCCTGTGGCTGCCCGTGTTGATAGCTTTTTGCCTTTGTAACAGAATCCTTGGTATTCACTGCAAGACATAACATGTGATAATAAAGGTGAACTGTAATGCCTTTAAAAATAAAGTCCAAGGTATGTTTTAAGATCATAAATCACTGAGAGAATACATGTGTAGGCTTAAATACAAATAAAACACACTTAAAGAAAATATGTGAACATAACTTCCTCTTCTTGATCTATAGGTGTAAATCCTACTCCAGAAATTTTTTCAAGAGTTGAAAACTTGTGGGTCCATGGGGTCTTGTAGAAACTGCTGTAGAAGGAACATTGGACTCTAAGGGCTGCTTTCTCTTTGGTCTGGCTGGAAGGGTAATACCATCAGCAGTGTTACAGGGGTGAAATGACCCCAAGAGACGGTAAACTTAGTCAAAAGTCCATTGTTTAAGGCCAGTGCTGCTACCAAGGTATATGGCAGATGCGAGATGCTTGACCATAAGTCTGCACAATCTGCAACTCTGCGTTCTTTAGCCACTGAAGCAAACAACTGGGACGTGGTACATGTCAGAAAGTGGCCGCCCTCATGCTAAAGGTGAATAGTAAGAGGAGAACTGGCTGAGAACAAGCATATGGAACTGCTTGGGGTGAAACATGGAGAAAGTTGGAAGGCTCACACAGTGGAGTAACTGTGTGTCACACTTCAGTTTACAGGTCTTTGTTTCAAAATCGTATCACAGATTTAGAATATTGATAATGTTACTGGAGTCACCTGATGCATGAAGCATCATAAAAATAAAGCTTTCTTTAGTGTACAGTAAGAATGGCATTTCAGGCAAAGAATAATTAATTGACCTTCTGTAAATATAAGTAAAACAAAATTAGGAAGCAATTTGGAACAAATACAAGCAGATGCACATATTAAAGGGCAGTACCAACAACTAGCAGTGTGCAGAAAAGTCTCTCCTATCCAGTTGCATACTGCAAAAGTTTGCTTGAACTAAGCAATATCAGAACATGTACAGGCCTTGGTTGGGCTGCTACTCTGAGCTAGTATAGTCTATGTTGGTAATAAACAATTAGTATTTGGTGTGGTTTTTATGCACATATTCTTAATGATTTTGAATGGTTAATGTTTTATAATAGCTTCCAAATTATTCAGCTTTGTTTCTGAGACAGAAAGTCCCAAATAAAATAAAGGTTTTATATGCTGCTTATTGAACCAGGGAGGTAGATTTTTTTTCAGGCAGTATTATTCATATTTGTTAACAGTACCAAAAGGCCAAGAGTGTCTATTCTCACTTTTAATTTCCACTTTGTTTTGCTACTTACTTCAAGGTAGCAGAAAGTTTTTCCTTTGTATGGTTGCAGAAGTACTGTCCCAGTCTGTGTACATTTTCTATCTAATTTTCTTCATGTAAAAGGCATCTTAGTACATGGATGGAATAAATTAATTTCTGTTTAAATGACTACTGTACTATGTCTTCTTTGTACCTGTTTTGCTTAAGAATTATTTAAAAGTGTAACTACAACTCAGCTATCTTCTACCTATGTAGCCAAGTAGAAATTTGAGGCTGATGTAGTATTTCAGTTGGGTGCCCAATATGGTGTGTTTTCAACTTCTGGTTGAAAAATGTGAATGGGCCACTGAGTCTTCAGCTGATACCCTCCAAACATCTAAGAATACTGGAGATCATGGTTTCAAATAAGAAGACGTATATATATATTCCGGTTCCAATTTCACACTTCCTCTCTCCATCTCTAATAATACACATTGAGACTGAGCCAGACCAGAGATACTCAGAACTAAAGACACAGGTGCCATACTTCTTTTTAAAGAGATAGGTTCTCTCGTCTCCAGGGAGGCAAGTCATAAAATCGGCTAATCAGATATAGAAGGTTTACTGCTTATAATTGCCTCATTTATTCCTGCTAACCTTTGTTCTTGAAACTAGGGCATGTTTCCTTTTGTAATTGTGTGGTATGCCAGATGTTTTTTGTGTTATTAACTTTTTCTTTCAAGACAAAATCTGCATGTTTCTCGGTCCCATCCATGTAATTTCTTTGTGGTTTTTCCCCAAGAGTCTTGTTCAGTGACTAGATACAGTCTTCCCTTCTTTTGTTCAGAAGTCAAATAAAAACCAAGTAGTTTCTTATGCTGTATCCCAGAAGTCCTTAAAGGTTAAGTTCCTTCAGCATTAATTACAAATCAATGAAATTAGATTTGATCCTTGTGGGCTAAAGATAGAAGAATAAGCTGTATGTTTGTTGCTATTTTCCCTGGGCTATGAATGTGCTAACAATGCAATTTTAAAGAAATTAATTAATTCAGACCAGTACTGGACAGAAATCTTACTGGTAAGTGCCTTCCAAGTGAAAATCACAACTTAGCTGTCAATATTTCATTTGTTGTGTACGTATCTTAAATACTATACTGCCTGCCTCTGAAAGTGACTTCAGAATGGTAATATACCTTTCAAGTTAGGTGTGGTTATTTAACAACTAATACCTAATAATATATTTTGAAAATTGTTCAAATCTTTTTTGTGAAGGATGCTTAAGCTGATAATTTTCTGTTTTAAAAATTCCAATTGTAATATTTTGAGAAACATCAGTTAGTTTATCTGATTTCTTTTAAGATGAGGCTCAGAGGTGAATCAAGTAATTTTTTTTCTTTTTACCTCAGTCTTCATCTCTTTTAATACCGTGTATAAGACAAGGAAAAAAGTGAGATATTTGTAATCCTTTCATCTTGTCCCTCCTTAGAAACATTGTAGAGCAATATTTTCTATAGATGCAGGATTTGTAGTAAATTGAAGATTTATGATGGGTTGATGGGATGAAAACATATTCCCTTTAGCAGATGTTGTGAAGGAACTTCCAAGATAGGAGATCCTTTTAATTTTTTTTTTTTTTTTTTTTTTTTTTCTGTTACTGGATCCAAATAACCAATATTTTCATTAGGAGAGCAGTTTTTCTTGTGTTTTAATTTTTTACCTAGCTCAGTAGTTGTGACCAGTGAATACTAAAACCAAACTCATCAAATATGTCTGATATCTCTTTTTCAGGAAGTGTGTAAGCTTATATTGTTTGGTTTTTTTCTCTTTAAAAGGTAACAGAATCCCCAGCAGATGTAGCAGAAAGAGCAGACAGAATTATTACCATGCTGCCTTCTAGTCCCCATGCAAAAGAAGTTTACACAGGAGGAAATGGAATTCTAAAGTAAGACTTTTTTGTAGTTTGGAGAATTTCCACTTGTACTCAAGGCTTGTCTGATGGTTGCTGTTGTAACTCTTCCTGTGCCTTCAGGGCACTTAATTCAATGTTCTCTGTTCTGTCACTATTGATATTTCTAATTATATGGGTTCTCTCATACAGTGCTGCTTTTGAATTACTTTTGGCTAAAGTCTTTATTTTATTTTCAATAGAATAATAATTTTTGTGTATTTCAGGCAACTTAATTATTATCTGCCTTTACGGTTGCATGGGTTTTCTTTCCATCATGTAGTATACTACTCTCAAGTACAACTAGAATATTTGCTGGCAATAATTATTTGCTCAAATACTATTTTCTTTAACTTGAAATCCTATAAATTAAGTATTCTGAGGAGACACCATTGTGTCTTATGTTGTTAAAGTGTTTTAACATAGAATAGCTGACAAGACTTTCTTGATTTCTACTCTTATCTGTTTATTATTTAAAAAAACCCTTAAGATTCTGTTTAATGTGAAACAGGGGTTTTTTAACTTTTGTGGAGGGATCTCCACTGAGCCTTAAATCCATAGTCTGCAGAATTCTAATGCTCAGAGTTTTTGAACTTGCCAAATCAAAAAATAAATATAATTTAAAAGTCTGTTCTGGCTACCTGTGCACTGCTCCTGGCTGGCTAAGGCTACTGGATACCTCTGAGAATCATGTAGGCTCTTACAGCTATCCATATTAATAAGGTAAAGGAAAAAAAAACATACAGAAGAAAAGTACAGTAGATTATTAAAAAATGATGATGCTTTTTTAGGTATTAATTTTACAATATTAAGATGCAGTGATAAGAAAATGGAAGTAGGAGAGATGGATTTCTGTTGTTCTTACTATATAAGAATAATAGTTGATTCTTTCCTTTCTTGTCTGTAGTTTAATTCCTCATAAGGTAGGAGTGAGGAGATCTAAGATCTGTAGCTTAGACCCTTCAGGGAAGATGGGTAATTGGATCAGCCCCACAAAGCTCAGGAAACAGCTGTGGGAGAGCTGTACCCATGGTGGCAATGGTTTGAAGAATGATTGGCAGCATGTACTGATACAGTACAGCCAGTTAATCTCTTGAATACATAGATGTGGAAAATCCAGCAGGAAACAGAAGGTGTGGAAAGCAGTCCTATGCTGCTGCAGTTTCTCAGCCTCTGTATTAAGAGAAGAAAGTGTAATTTGACAGTAGTAATTGTGACTCTGAGTGACTTGGTTTAATTTTCATAATTTTCTGAAGCTTTTAAAGCTTTACAAAAGAAAACATCAATAACGTGAAGTGTTTAAAGTTTGAGTTAGTCATCCCCCTGTGTTACCAAGGAGCCTGTGCCACTGTGCCTTCTTCTGAACACAAGGGGAGGTGATGTAGTACCTTATCTGCTGCACTGTTTTTTGTTTGCATGTGTTCAAACTAACTGCAGCAGCAAAAGGGGTGAGTTTTATATATGTGACACTCTTTGAGTCTGGAGTTCCAGTAGGGTCACAATGTATGTATATGTTGAGAGACTATTTCCAGCAATCTGGGTAATTCAATTAAGTGAAATCCACCGTACTGCCAACAGCATGCAAGATGCAGTGGATCTCTTTATCTGTCATAAGTAGCTGTAAATGGGACATGTTTTTATTACTGAAAAATTCAATTTCATGGTGATTGCTGGTCAGCTGGACTTGAAATCATGGTGTAGCTCAATGGAAAGAGGGATAAAAATCAACTTTTTTGCTGTGGAGGGTATTAAAAAAGTTCAAATTTTTTAAATTTCAAAAATTTTATCATATTTTTTAATCAAATAATGAGCTTTCTGTGATCTACAGTTTGAAATACAGATCTGCCTAAACGTGCTGGCTATCAGTGGGAAAACATTTTTCTCCATGCTTCACTTCAAATCTTCAGTGGGCTTTTGTGGTTTTACTTATGATCTTCATGTAGAACAAATTGTAGAATGATTAAAAGAATGCAATCAGACCATTCTAATAAGAATTTAAGACACTGCATATATAAAAAGAACATTTTGTGATTCTGTATTAAACTTCAGGCTGTATCAACAGTTGCTTAGAATGCATCTTAGGTGATCTGTATATTATATACTGCTCAACTTGTGTAATGGAAAATTTTCCTATTGCAACCTTTTTGAGTAATTTTTAAATAGTGTTTAAAAAGAGCATCCTTTTTTGTGTTCAGCTTTTATTGGGCTTTGTGTGGTTCAAAACTGCAGTATGCATACTGAGCAGATCTTGCTCAAGAAAGTTTAAAACTCCATGTTTACTATTGTACAAAAAATGTCTGCACATTTGTCATGCTGATGGAAGCCAGTGCCATGGTAATAGTTGCAAATATCTTCTGAAAATAATAATGATAATTATAATAATAATAAGTCTTTATTTTAGGAAAGTGAAGAAAGGCTCATTGCTAATAGATTCCAGCACTATAGATCCAGCAGTTTCAAAAGAATTAGCCAAAGCTGCTGAAAAAACAGGAGCAGTTTTCATGGATGCCCCAGTTTCTGGAGGTAAGTCTTCATTAACAGTTTACCTCATATTGGACAAGTTGTCTTTTTGTTTGCAGTTTTAGTCACCAATTTGTACCGTTGTTGCTATAATTTGCTTTTCTTTACTGTATGTACAGTATTCTGTTTTGTTGTTGTTTAATTGCATTACAGATATGTATAACAGGAGTTTTTAGGATTTTTAGGATTTAGGAGTATGCTTTTGTGCTACACTTGAAGAAACAGCTTTCTTGGGATATGATGCAGTGGTCCTTTTAATTTAACTTCTTTCATAAAGTTGCATTTTTATGGAGTTATTCACATTCCTTTAGCCTCCATCTGTTTCTTCTTGTTAGGGAAAAACTGGTTGTCATTAAGTGCTTCTGTTGCTTTATCATTAATTAAAAAGAAGATAATGAAGTGAGGAATATAAGATGTCTTTATCACAAGAAAACAGAGATTTGTCTGGTTTTATAACAACTGAAGAATATGGATTATAATTGTCTATTCTTAAAAGTTGCTAACTATTGATCTCTGAGTATTTAGTCTCTTGTAAGAAATAATATATAGGGCAGGAATACTTCTCAGTTTGTGGACAGAGAGAGCAGAAACATAAAATTAATATTTTGAAAACAAAACCATAACAGGTTCTTTCTATTGTTGAAATTCCAGGACACCTGGAATTAGAAGGTGAGGAAACCTCATTTTATATGAGAAAATCTTAAGGTTTTTATATTCCAGTCTAAAAATTAATGTAACTGGCATTTTGAGAATTCTTTAATTTCCTGATGAATGTCAGTGATTTTCAGTTGGGAACTAAGGCAGGATTTGACTACATACTAGAAGCCAAAATTTTCGTCCAGATTCTATTGGCAAGTAGGCAGATCCAGGTAGGTGATATTGAAGAATATAGTGGAGAAGACAAGATTCTTGCTTCCCAGCCAAAATGTTAGTTCTCTTTTATAAAGCTAGATAGCTAATCAGCCTGGGAAGAAAAACCACAAAAAAATTGTATTGTGGGCAGATTATCTATCTCTCTGATCCTTCTTTTTAAACACAGCATGGCTTTCTGCTTATCAGTTGGGCAATTCTGACCTACTTCTATGTTGTTTTCTTCCAATCTCTTTCTGCCAAGTATGTTATTTTCCCAAAGGAGTTATTTACCATTTAGAAATACCTGTAATTTATTTTTATCTGTAAGTTTTTGGTGTGAGGCTGACTATAACTCCAAAGAAAAAAGGAAAAGTTTGATTCTGAAAGAACTTTAGCTATTTAGGGGGTTTTGTTCCTTGAGAAAATGGTAAGGCCAAGACAGAGTTAATATGATAACATATAGTTGACTAGTATGAATACAGATGGCTGTTCTGGTGTTAGTGGTTTATCTGAGTGGTGACTAGTGTCAGTTACAGATTGAGGGATATCCTGTATAAGGGGGAAAGAATAGACTTAACTTTCTAGTCCTTAATATATTTGTGAAGCCCTAGGAGTGCTCTGTACAAATCATGTTTAAAATGGGCACTTGCTAGAAATGTGGAGAAGTCTGTTGGAAAAAAGCCTTTAATGTATGCTTTGTTATTTCCATCTTTCAGTACCTAACACATCAAGTCTTTGGGGTATTTTTATATGTCCTGACTGCATTGTTGGCCTTCAGACAAAACACTAAATGGAGAAGTATGCTCGGCTCTCTAGAAATTGGCAGGCACTATGCTGTTGCTGTGCAATGCAACAGAGTTGGCAGGAGTTTCAAGGAGAGTGTGGGACATAGGGAGGAGGAAGAGAAAGCAGCGTGCCTAAACTGTCCTCTTTAGAGCTGTCTGTTTACTAGCTGTTATTGGCGGACAGCTCCACTTGTGTTTTTAGGTATTTGGGTGTGGCCTGATGTTAACATTCATCTGCACTGTGAGCAAATTCACAAACTAAATAATATTTTGAAAATTTCTTGGTCTGTAAACCCTAGGGAGAGAGAGCGGTGATTCTAATCCTGTTCTGACATTGCAAATGAAGAATCTTTGGGCATAGCATTAGGGTCAGATTTTAGTGGCTTGTTTGCAGTCTTGCCCCCAAAAGATTCTTTCTCTTGATCTTTTTCAGATGGACCTGCATGCTAGCTTAGTGCTATATTCTTCATATGAGTGGCATACAGCTTAATGCTGTCTTCTTCATATGATTGGCCTACAGCATTTATTTGCAGCTTACAGTCAGGACCCATTAAGTAGAAGTTGATGAACCAAGTAACTATAGTATTATTTTGTATTAAGTGACTTCAGAAAATACTTCTCATCCCCATAGTTGCACGCAGATTAAGCTGCTAATGCTCTATAGAGGTAGCAATCGCTTTAGCCTGGGATTAGGATCTCTTGCAGGTCCACATGAGAAAGTTGTGTCATGGTTTCTAGTGCTGTCCTGGTTTGTGACTTCTTTGTTAGCATGGGACAAATGGGGAAACATCTTCAAAATCCTTGTTTGTTTGTTTGTTTTAATCTAGACAGGAATATTATCTCTTTGCAAAGATTGGGTTCTTCATCTTTATATGTATAAAAGTATTTTAAAGCGCACATTATCACAGAAACATATTTAAAACTGACTTCTGTTGGCACAAGATTTTACTGGCTAAGTACATGATCTAAATTTAGCCTTCAAGAATTGTGTCAAATTTGTCCTCCCACTGATTTCAGTAGAAGTATGATACAGATTCTCACCTCATAATCCAGAGCTAACTTCACTAGTGGCTTCACTGATTCAGCTGTAATAGTTCTCTCTCTTTAACTCAATAGACAAGATACTAATTTCCTAAAGTACATTAGCTGATTTTTTTTTTTATTTCTAATGTAATTCTTTCTATGTTATAACCATTGTCAGTGCTTAGATACAACCTTTTCAACTTCTTTCCCCTTCTATTGACTATTGAAATTATATCAGTTCTGTATCTGCTCAAAATACATTGTAGTGCATTCTATTGGAACTTCACAAAAAGATGTGACAACTTGATTTGTTTTCTGGTTTTGGAGGTATGAAAAAAAGTTTTCAACTCTTTCTACGTCTGGCTCTTTAAGATCTGATAATGAAACTTTAGATCTTCCTCCCCACTGTATCCTTTAGACAAGAGAGTAGTTAGTTAAAAAGTCAGACTGCTAATTGCTAATAACAGCTGTCATATAGAGAACTGTAGTCATGCTAAAATGGTAATAAAGAGTAGATTAAAAGTTTTTTGGCTTTTTTTTAGAAACTGCATTGGAGGTGGCTAGAAGAGGTTGTAGTTTCTATTCCAGCTGTCATTTCAAACTGTTTCATCTTATAGTACTTCTTCCATAAACTTCAGGTAATCATAAAGTGATGGAAACAGTAGTAGTAGTAGTAGTAGTAACACTGACAAGTTAAGACTTCAGGTCACTGATAATGTAAGCATAACATGAGTCCTTGAGGGGTGCATTGCAGACTTATTCCCTGCATGGCCAAATCTCTACTTCTACTTTTCTCAAAGGAAAAAAAAATATTAGAAACACTCTAACACTCTGGAGATATTTTATTTTATTTATTTTGTTTCAAAGAGCAATATATTTTAGGATACCAGCTTCCCCCCCCCTCACCTTTTTTCTTAGAAAGGGCACTTTCCTAAAATAGGAGAAGTGAATTATGAACTTACTCTTACTTGAACATTGAAGGCGCTTAGTGCTGTGCCTTTTCCAAGCAGAGGAGTTAAAACTTTATGCACACCAATAGTCTTATGACATTATGGGAGAGGAAGAGTTGGTATGTTAATTCAATGACTCTAATTTGAGACATCATGTATTTTTTAATAAATACAAAGCATAAAATAAGAAATGTCCTGAATTCAGTGGTATAGAGGTTTGATGTGATTTTGGCTTTCTGGTCTGGTAATGCAGTGATTGGATCTGTTAGAGTCTTTGAAACACTATAAAGATAGAGCAGGTTAATGAATTTAGAACTAGTATTTCTGACCTATCCTCCTCAATAGCAGGTGTTCTTGTTGGCAAGGAAAAACATCTAAAGGCGTAGTAGTATTTGCTCCATTATAATTTCTAGATTTATGTTTTTATGCTTTATTTTTAAAGCCTAAATTTGGGTGCTCAGAATGGCCACAGTGTTCTCTGTGTTCCTGGTACTGAGAATGACACTTCTTTTTCTCACTTGCTTTGCTCTTTCTCAGTCACTATATGCCTTGTGTAACTTTTTTCTTTCATGACATCTTTCCTAATTTATCTCTTTACATTTTTTGCTGAATGCATTTGATCATATTAACTTTTCTCACAAAGTCTGTGATTTAAGGATGGTAGTAGAAATTAAATGTACAACTTTAATACTAAAGGTAGTGTGCAAAATATTACTGAGTTATTCTGAAATTTAGATGAGAGAAATAATGCAGAAAGTACCTGATGACAAAAAAGGGAAGAATTGGCTGAACTGATTTAAGGAAGCTCAAATGAGGATGAAGAAGTATTTTGAAATATGAGATGTTTAAAAAGCTTCTGATTTCTAAGAACTTAGGGTTTAAGTTGTATAACAATACTCATCTGTCAAAATAAAGCTAATTCAATAGCTCTCTTCTCTTAGAGAGAAGAAAGAACTGAAGATCTTGAAAATCTTAAACATTGGTAAAATGTATATTTTGACGCAGAGGGGAGGAGTTATAAATGGCGTGCAAATATCTCTATGTTGGCAGCAGCTCCTGATTCAGAAGATTTAGGTAGTATATCTACTTACGTGCTGACTTTGCAAGGCTATTTTTCTTCTGTAAGTCTATTGTGCCTTTTGCATTCTCTATAAAATAAAATAAAAGGTAGCAGAAGATAAGGAGGAATAAACAGATATGTTGAGAATCTCATCTAAAAATATTCACTGGGGTGGAGACAACTATCCTACAATGACTAAAAGGGTGGAATAAATTATTTTATTAAAGCATATTGTATATTTTGGCAATAAAACTGTGTGTAGTCTGGCCAAATAGTGACCAATGTGCAGAGAAACATATCTGTCTCCATTTTTTGAAGGTGTAAAGATGAGTT